GATGATTAAAGGACACCACGTGGAGGGTTGTGCCCTCTATCAGCACGGAAAGGGCGAAGGTAACATCTGTTAGTTCTTCAGATGGTGTGTTCAGCATTATGACACTCAATGAAAGGAGAGCGACAGACGTCATCCGGGATGTTTACTGCTCTCGCGAATTGCAGGGAAAAACATCGAAGGTGTTTCTTGGTATTCAGCATGAGGGCGTTTGTATTCCATTTTCTTTTGTTGGTTATCCGGATAACGGGACGCTGCAGTTTTCACTCCCAGAGGGCGTCGAAGTTCACTCCGGAGACACCGTTGAGCTTTTGGTGGATGATGTGGAGCTGGACTCCGAGGCTTCCGCTGCTCTTCTTATTGGCATGCAAAAAAAAATATCGATTACGCATGTTTTGAAGGACATTACTGTTGCTCGGGAAGCAAGGAAAAACATTGTGGCATCTTCGGTTGCCGGATTTCACTTTTCACATGGTGGCATGAACGTTGCGGCACGTCCTGAAGTCAAAATGACACTTGGGAATTCCACGACCATTTTTGCACCCTCGGTGTTGCAACGTTGTATGGGGAAGTACTGCCCAACGTCAGGCTTTTTTTCTCCCGGTCAGGTCTTTACATTGGGCAAATTCACTGGGGTTTACACCCGATCGAGTAGCTACAGCTTCCTCGAAGGGCTTAAGTGACTTGTTTTTGTTGTTGTTTTTTATTTTTTTTTTTTATTGTGTGTGTATGTATGGAGGGGGGAATCACTTGTTGTCGTGTGTTCTCTCTATTTGTGGGGATTGTTTTTGTTCCTCACCTATGGGGAGTAGGTGCCTATGATATCTGTGTGCGTGTGTGTCTGTGTATTTGACTGCGGTGGGGCGTTATTGAAGGGTCGGGGCGGTGATTTTATTTGGTAAAATTTTTATTCTGTGTGTACGTGCTGGCCTATTTGAAGGTGCTCTTTGGAGGTGGCGTCACACACGCATACAAAAACGCTGAGAATTATGCTTCTGTGCACTTATCTCTCTTTCATAGTCCTCAAAGAGAGAGGGGGGCAATAGTTCCACATGACATGTGTGGCCGTTGAGTTTAACAGCTGCTCAGTTGTGTACGGCGGGTGGACTCCGGAAGAACTTTACCGGTTTGCTCCGCACACTGATGTCCTCGCGCCCGTTCAGGGGTTTCTTGAAATTGACGAGTCCGTCGTGGTGCGTCCACGTCCGTCCATGATGTTTGCCACATTTGAGACGCTGCGCCGTTTTTGGGATCCGCATCCACCCGCGATGCCGTCAGGCGCCGAGGTGCTGCGTGCCGGCTCCACCTGTTGCATGCAGGTCTCATGGAAAAGTGGAGTGTCCTTTCGAGCCGTTTCTGACGACCTCGTCCCTGCGAAGGGTGTGTGGCTCCGTTTTGTCTCCAGTTTCTCTCACCGGAAGTACACCCTGGAACGAACACCGAGACAGCTGGGGATTCTTCTTCGTGCGCTGCGCGTGAGCTTTCCGCATCTCTTAGTACCGGCTTGCAGTGAGCCCAATGTTCAAACTGCACGAGGCTTGCTTGACTTTGTTGAGACCCACGCGGAGGCAGTCTTTGCTTACCTTCCATTGCTTTTTTTTCTGTATGAGCTGAGCAAGAAGAGTGTTGGAAACTTTTTTGATACACTGGAGGAACTAGTGCGGCGGCGACAGTTAAACGAGTCTAATCTCCTGAATGCACTGAGACCCAGAGAGGCGTCTTGGTTTGGTTGGAGCGCCCCCAAGTTAACCCTAAAAGAGGATTCACTTTCTGAGGATGTGGTGTTTATGGATACGCACGCAGCACGACTGCCTGATTCTTTCAAAGTGAAGTACATGTTTTC